TGTGTGCCCTTCACCCCCTCCACCCTTCCCTATTTACATAGATTTCATTTCCATTTTTTTTTCTTTTCTCATAGTTTCTCCTTTTCCTCTTTTTCTTTCCCCTTCCCCTCCCTTCACTCCTTCATCTTTGGACCTTTTTTCCTATTTCAAATTATCAAATATTCATTTTAATCATTTTAACTCTTGTTTATCAGTTTCTCACACTGGTGAAACTATTCAGTATTTACACATGTGTGACCTATTTATTTCACTTAAGAGTATGGCCTCAATATGCATCCATGATTTCTTTCTTTCTTATTGCTACTACATCTTACTTCCTTAGGGAATTAACCCTGTGCTGATTTATCCATCTTTTTCCTGCTAGCCTGCATTAATGCTGTTCTTTTTTTTAACCTTCCTTACTCCAAGTACAGAAGCCAAGGGTGAGCATCTGTTCTTGGCTGTAGTTAGAATATGTATGTGAGAGAGATGTCCTTTAATAACAGCAGTCTTCCAATTTTAATAAGGAATCTATAGGTTGACAAGGATATTCAAAAATTGCCACTTGTTTATTTTTGAGAAACAGTATTATTTGATATAAAATTTGTGTCACAGTAAGAACAGGAGAAAAGTTTTAAATTTTACACAATGTATCACAAACAATGGATATGAAAGTGGTTTGAAAAAGTAAACAAAACACTATGCTTTCATTTGTACAAAATATTCAGTATTGTATTCCTAATGCTTATGTAATTATTTTTCGTTGGTTCATTTCTTTGAAAAGAACTTCATAGATAAATTTGGTCTAAATAATATTTCTGTGATCACAGATGTTACAAATTAAGCATGATGTTTTTATATTATAATCTAAAAGTAGAGTATGCTTCATGGATGGGAAATATTTTTTCCTCTCTCAAATACAGTGATTCAGTGTGAAAACAAGGATTTTTTTTCTCCATATTTAATTAAAAATCCTCATTTGGTGCCTGCACTGAACACATTTTGGAGATGGGAAGGATTTTGTTTTTTTCTCAGTACTGGAGATCAAACTCAGGACCTTGTGCTTGCCAGGCAGGTACTGGCACCACTGAGCTAAATCTCCAGCCCAGGGAAGGATTTTAAAGAACATCTCATGTAGTCTCTCAGTTAAGAGAGTTGGAAATTCATGGTTTAATAACTTAACCCATGCATAACCAAAGCTTCCTGAACATTTTCAGTCAAGACATTTTATTTGCACATATTAACCATGTTGCTTGTAGTACATCAACATAATTATTATTTTAAACCAAAAATCCTGTTCGTAATAATATCAGGGTTCCAGGCAGAATCTGTAGATATTCTTTGGAGAAAATTGTCATCTGAATGAGCAGATGAAGCTATGGTAAGGTATATCTTTAGGTGAAGTCCCTTTTCATCATTAAATATGGATTTCAGAACTTTAAATTTGGTTCTTAATAAATGTCAAGTTTCAATAATGCAATATTAAAGAAACCTCTAAATTTTAGAGCCTACATCATCATCATTAAAAATAGGAAGACTCACACATATTAAAAATGTAAATATTTATATGTGATTGAAGGTGGAATTTGAGGTGTTCATTGGCAACCTAAATAGGGAACTTATGAACTTGAAATCTATTGTAATGTGTAGTAATTAATATTTTCTTTAAATCTGCTCTCAAGATGTCACTACTTAAGTTTATGTACAGATGACATTTAAGCCTCTGAATTGTAATATATTAGAATAAAGACTTTAAAGAGGGAACATGGTAACAAAGGTCTAATCATGATCTTATTTGATACATTTGTGGACATAAAAGTAATGATAGGACCAAATTTGTTTGGGTGGGGCAGAGCTTGGATCAGTCTTCTTGGATTGGGGTGAGGAGTGGATGCAAAGGACAGAGCAGTGTGCTCTTTCCTAAGGAAGCCCTGTTGGAAATTGGTATCTTTTCAGCTTCTTACTGTCTGTCAAGGCATTCATCCTAGTGGGCTAAGTTAAGCCACACAAAACTCTGAAAGGCAGCTCTTACTACCTTTATGACACAAATGAAGAAAAAGACAGAATGAAACAAATACAAAATAGGCCTGGAAAGGTTAACTATTTCCTAAGTTTGCTGTCTTATCTAGTAAATGGAAGAGCCAGACCTTATTTCAGCTCTTAAAGTGCTGTAGAGCCAATATTCCTTCCTGGCTACTTCCTGCAGGTAAACTAATAAACACAACTTTTTATAGATAAGGGAAATATTTATTTGAGATTTGAGACTACATTTTTGTAAGTTGAAGGATTTGGCATCAGTGGGGAATGGAAGTTTACGTGGCTTGGATTCAAGGAATTATGAAAGACATGACAATGCCTTCTTTTCGTTGAGAGACTGGATTTACTGACTCTTGTCTTGGAGGGAGTAAAGCAAGTAGTCAAATGACACATAAGGAAAATAGCGTCAGCATCCAGATTTCTTGATATGAGGTAATGCTATCTTTGATAACATTGTATTTTAACCAGAAATTGTGTAGTGATAAGACATTGTTCTTGTTGGTCCATTCATTTATTCATTGATCACTCTCAGTAATTGAAGTACTCATGTAATACCTTATATTTGTGCTACAGTTTATTCTACTATTAGTGTTCAATTAACTTTTCTTATGAAAAGTTAGGATGGAGAACATAAGTAGAAGAAATAGTACTTGTATTTTAATTAGTGTTTTACAGATGAAACTTCAGACTGTTGCGATATTAAATGTCCTCAAAGTCTCAACAGCTAGTGGTTATCACAGACGTAGTTTAACTTCTTGTTTAAAATTGGATACTCTTTAGATGATTTCTTCCTGGTTAATAAACATGATATTCAACTACAGTGGTAATAGTATAAATATAATTCCATACTGATTTCAACATCTAGAGAAAATTGAAATTAAAAATATTTTAAAACTGAATATATTTCAACAAGAATTAGTGACAAAATTCTTATTTTTCTGAAATGGTATGAAAGGCCCTTTTTGATGATATCACTTTTTTAATGTTTTATTTTTAATTGTCAAGGTTTTATATCTTTATCATGTATATAAATATCATTGTATACATTTATCATTGATCAAAACTATGATGATTTCAAAAATATATGTGTGTGTGTGTGTGTATATATATATATATATGTATATATATATGTAGTGGAATGACTAAATCAAGCTAATTAAGATACATCACTTCACATTATCATTTTTGTTCCAGGACACTTAAAATCCCTGAGCACTTTCACAAATATACTATGACGTTACTAAATATAGGTACCATGTCCTACAATAGATCTCTTGAACTTATTCCTCCTATCCAACTGAAATTTTACATTTTTTCACCAACGTATCTTCAATCTTCCACCCCCTAGTCACTGGTAACCACCATTCTACTCTCTACTTGTGTGAAATCCACTTTTCTAAGTTTCCAGATGCAAGTGATCTCATGCAAAATTTGTCTTTCTGTGTCTGTCCTACTTTATGTAGTCTAAAGCTTTTCATGTTCATCCAAGTTGTTTAGAATAACAGGCTTCCCTTCTTTTTAAAGGCCAAATAGAATTACACTTTGTGTGTGCACCACATTTTCTTTATCTGTTCATTTGTTGCTGGACATATAGACTAAACCCATATCTTAAACAATATGAATGGTGTTGAAGTAAACATGAGGTGTGGAGATCTCTTCAACATACTGATTCCATTTCCTTTGGATTTTTACCCAAAAATGGGATTTCCAGATCGTAAGCTTACCTATTTGCATGCGTTTCATTTTATCCTCTTAAAATGTTTTTTTCATGCTATTCTTTCCCATTCTCTCTGGATTTCATAGTAATCTATATTTGCTATCTTCTACTATTTTCCTCAACACTTTAACTCTTTTTTCCTAGTTTCCATAATGAGAATATACTACACTGTACTCATTGTTACACTTTCACTTCCTCAGATAACTCAATAGTAAATCTTTCAACAGTAACTTCATTGACCCAAGGATGATCTTAGAATATTAAAGAGGTTAAGCTAGATGTTCATAGGCAGAAAAAACATTTTTCATCTATATTTTCTATGATGTGATTTATAGAGATCTAAAACCCTGATTGACTGGTAATGAGCTACATGAAGATGGATAATGTTCAATAAACTTTTTAAAAATGTAAATTAAAATAGGCATCCTCCAACTTATTTATGAGAAACAGTTTCCAGTACAAACATATTGAAACAGTAGAAAAATTGTAACACATGACATTTTACTTATATCTTCATTTATTCATACTCATTTCAGCTAAAGAAAGGATGCCTTTAGCCATCTGAAAAGAAGTAACTAAAACTCAGTTAAGAACATGATCAAATATAAACAGAAAATTAAAAAAATAAAAACTGCTTAAATATTCTGGAAATTTTTATACTTCTTTTTTGGTATTAGAACATATTCAACTTACGTAGTGAGACATAACATGGCACTCTACAATATGCTATTGTTTATGTTTTTCTGTATTAGTAAAAAACAAATTTTAAAAATAAATAAAAATCTAAATTCCAAACCATCTTCAATTTAAACTAAATAAAATACTATGTTTCTTACTGAAAAATTTTGTTATATACAAATATTCTTTTCATTTCAATGAAGGTTTAGATTGTGCACAAAATGAATGTCTGATTTAATAAAGGCTTATATTAACTCAAGTGATTGCTTCATTTCTTATTAAATAAATTTTATAAGTGCTTATGAAATTATTGTGTGGCAAGTGTCTGAAATGTAAAATGTAAATTTTATTGTTACATATTGAAAATTTTGAGGTTGGACACACTGATGTTGTTTGTGCTATTGAAATTGTTGATTTTTTAAATGATTTGGGAAACTATATTTTTCTTATAAAAGTTATTTTTATTTAACAGGAAAAACACAATATTAATACAAAATGAACATGCATCCTATATTTTATTTAATAATAACATCGTCTTCCTCTCCTTTAATTCTACTTCAAATAGTTTCTTTTTCTTTTCTTTCCACAGGCTGAGTTAAATGACCGAACTGATCCTTTCACTAGATACAGTACAAAAGTTCCATCAAATGCAAGGGAAGAGGTTTTCTCTAAATACATTGGGTGCAGAGTTGCCAACACACTTTCCAAACTACTGTTTCCACCTCTCGATGTCCATGTGCTTCCTTTGAAGAAACCAGAGGTGAAACAGGATCAAATGAAATATCTAAATAAAAAACAGGAGTCTGTGAAGAAGAGAGTTCTACATTCTACTGTAAGGTAAGTCAAGCACTATTAGTTTTATTATTTTAATGCATTACATTTCAAAATTACAAGATTTACAGATATTCATGTCATTATTTAACTCAGTTTCTCTTCTTCAACTCAAATTCTGACTGTATTACCTCCTAAACAGTTTATCCTGTGCTAGATACTGCCTTTTCAGAGACTGTTTCCTCATGGATAAAATGAGTATTATTATATATTACAAAATGAAGTTAATGTAATTCTTGCAAGAATTATATTAGATAAAAATTTCTTCATTCAATATTCAAAATTTTAAAGTTGTATTTCCTGTATACATATATGTAGATACATATTTAATGTGTATTAAATGCATGTTAGAGTTCTAAATATAGTGAGTTTCCAATTAATTATAGGTATGATAATAATTATTATATTTTATATTTCAATCCCTTATAAATGTCTTTAAATTTATGTCTAATGACTTCAGAGAGCTTGGTACTTAGAAAAGATTTATTGAAATGAATATTTTAAAAATTTACTTCAGCTTCTTAGAATCTTTGTTACCACTTAAGATAATTCATTATTTTCCACACTGACTCTCTTCCAACAGATTAAAAAGTAGGTGAAGAATCACCCAGTTGGTTATAGCACAGGCTGTGTTTTACATTTGCAGATCTTTCAGCAAAGTTTTATTCAAGGCTGAAAGTTTGTGTTCTTTAGCCCAATTCATTTAAAGAGTATATTATGCTATGTAGAGACCACCAAAAATGTGTACATAAGGAAAAGAAAAACTTGTATAAAATCTTAATATGAAATTTACTGAGCCTTCTTGAGGTTAATGCAAGTTACCTTTGGCCTCTACGATTACAAGAGATGCTCAAAGTGGTGGCTATTAGCTTCCAGAGATCACCTAAGTTTATTATTGTATTTGAAAAGTATTATATACTTTTTTCATTTGTAAGATCCCTTCCTCTTTTTCCTCTAAAACCCCCCCAAAACTTCTACCATATTCTCTCAAGCTTTTTCACGAGAAATGCTTCCGAATTCTATACTCCAAAAGCATATGGTGCAAGCCTGCCTCATTACTGACCCTCATTTGCCTACTTTCCCTTCAACCCTTCCCACCCTGGCTAACAGCATCAATACTTTCTCTGTACCCTTTCTGGGTCTATAAAATCCATTCATAAAAAAGTCTCCATAAAATGCAAATATAAAAAGGTATAAGTATTGTTTAATTTCTCTCACTTTTACATGAAAGATAGCATATTAAAATAGTACTTATAGCTTGTAATTTTTCAATTAACCTCATCACATAAACAAGAATTACTGTTATCATTATCAGTTTTAATGATATAAAACATTTCCTTAGCATGAATTAGAGTAATTTATTTAGCCAGTTTTATACTGCTTGGCATTTGGGTTGTTTTTGATTGATACTATAGAAAGGGCTACGAAAAGTAACTTTTTCAACATTTCTTTTTCTAAATGTGGGAGAATACCTGCAAGATAATGCTCAAAAGTGTCACTTCTAAGTAAAAGTGTATATGCCTTTGTAACATTGACAGATATTTCAAAATTGACTTTCAGAAGAGTTATGCAAATTTGTATCTTTATTACAAGTACACGAGTGGCCAAACATTTGGATTTTGACCGTCTGAGAGTTAAAATACTGTTTCTAAATATTATCTAGTTCTAATAACAACTTATTCATATATTCACATCACTTTGAAATTTTAAATTAATTTCAAAACGCTTAACATTTTTATGATTTTTGAGAATTAACATCTCTAACTTTATGGCATGTATTTTCTTTTATTCAGAATTTCTTTTGAGTACTTCAGTAATGTCTACAAGTTTTCATATGTGTCTTGTATTTTTCTTGGTACAATCACTGCTAGATAATTTATCTGTTTTGTTGCTAATATAATCTTTTCCCCAAATTTAGCTTCTCACAGTTTGCTCCTTATATGTGTTCTAGGTATTTCAGTCTGTATATTAATTTTATACCCTACTAGCTTAGTAAATTTACCTACTGAGGTTGTTTTTCTAGGTTCATAATTTCATCAATTACACATAGTTTATCTTTCCTTTCCTGATTTTATACTTTTACTTTTTTCATGTATTTTAATGTCTCAGTATGCTCTATTGTTTAATAGTAGTGAATGTGCACCTTTTATCCCCAACTTTGTTTCTAAGAAAGCTTTTAGTGTTTTCCAGTTACTTATGATGCTGATTTTAGGACTATAATTTCTTATGCTCACTAAGCAGCTTTATTAGAAAAATATTTGCACTCTATATAAGAAATTCACTTTAGATTTGAGGGAACATAGGGTAAAATTAAAGGAATGGAAAAGGATATCCCTTGCAAAATGTTAATAAAAAAATTCATAGGTAACTATACTTACATCAAGCAAAATAGACATGAGGATTAAAAAAAAACTGTCCCAAAAGACAAAGCAACCATTACATAATGAGAAAAGGGTCAACCCACTAAGAAGTTATAACAATTATAAATATATATATATATATGCATCCAGTATCAGAGCAATTAAGTATAAACAGCAAAAACTGATGAACTTGAAAGGAATTACTGACAGAAATATAATAATGGTAGGAGATTTCAATCAATAATGGATAGAAAAATCTGATAATATGGATAATGTGGAAACAATGGCCTTGATCAACACTGTAGATAGGTCTTCACAGACACTTAAAGAACATTCCATGAAATAGCAGGTCAGTACATGTTCTTCTCAAATGTCAGGTGACTTTCTCCTGGGTTAACAAACTCAAGAAGATTAAAATCATACCAAATTTCTTATTCATCCCTAATGGAACAAAATTAGAAATCAATAGAACAAAAACTGGACAGTTTCCAAACATTTGGAAATTTAAATGTAACATTAGGTAAAAAATAAATCAAGGAAATTAGAAAACATCCTTACAGTAAGAGAATGAAAATGTAACATACTAAAACATGAATATAGCAAAAGCGATACTAAAAGGGACATTTATTGAAAAATGCCTACCTTAAAGAAGAAAATCTCAGGCAAGGAATCTAGTTTTATACTTAAAGAGATATAAAAACAAACAAACAAACAAAAACAAGCCAGAAGTTAGCAGAAGGAAGAAATAAGGTTTGAAGGGAAATAAAGGAATAGGGAATAGAAAGCTAAAAGAAAACATCAACAGAAACAAGCTGTTCTTTTGAACAAATAAGCAAAATTGGTAAGCTTTTTGGAATACTAAGAAAAATGATATGACTCAAACAAAAGTGACCTTTTATTTTGGGGATATAAGTATAATTCAATAACAAAAATAAGTTAATGTGATGTACCACATAAACAGAACAAAGGATTAAAAATCATGATCATTTTAATAAATAAGGAAAAGGCATTGACAAAATTCAACACCATTTCATGATAAACATGTCAATAAATGGAAAAATAAAAGGAATATGCTTTAACATAATAAAAGTCATATATAAAAAGTCTACAGATACCATCATGTTCAAAAACTGAGTTTTTCTTAAAATAATGATCTTATCCTTGTTGCTTCTAAACAACGTAATAGTAGAAGCACTAGTAAAAATAGATAAGAAAAAGGAATAAAAAGTATCCATAGCAGAAAGTGAGATAGAATTACGTGTTTGCAAACTTATGATCTTATATATACACAGATAATTCTAAAAAACAACACCAAAACTTTTTAGAAATAACAAATGCATTTAGCAAAATTGCAGGATCCAAAATGAACATAAAAAATCAATTGCATTTCTATACATTAACAATACAATACCCCAAATAGAAATTAATAAAACAGTAACATTTACAATAGTACTAAAAGTGATACTTAGGAATAAACTTGACCAAGAGTGTATTGGCTCATATATTAAAAACTGTACAGCATTTATAAAAAAGCTTAAGATCACAAAACAAATGAATGCTTTAGGACTGTAATTTCATGAGTTCATGAGTTGGGAAATTTAATATTGCTAACTTGCTTATATTAACGACAGATTTTCTGATTCAATATAATTTTTATAAAAATCCCAATAATCTTTTTAAGGAAATAGAAAAAAATTCATATAGAAGCACAAAAACTATAAATATCCAAATCAATTCTGAGAAAGAACAAAGCTATAAGCAAGGCAATTCTTGATTTTAAGATATATTACAAAGCTACAGTAATAGAGACAGTATAGTTTAAGCATAAAAACAGAGATGTAGACTACTGGAATGGAACAGAAGTCAGAAATATATTTGTGTGGTCATTTGACCTTCAGCAAGGATGACAAGAACAGATATTGCAGAAAGAATAAAGTAGTATATGGTGCTGGGGAAACTATATCCACATAGAAAATAATGAAATTTGGCTCTGATCTTTGACAATACACAAAAATCAACTTAAAATGTGTTAAAAGCTGAAATATAAGACATGAAATTATAAAAGTTTCATAAGAAAACATGGGCAAATCTTCCTGGCAAAAGTCTTTGTAAGTCTCCTGAATATGACACTAAAAGCACAACAAAAGTAAACAAATTGGGCTACATGAAACCAAAAAGCTTCTGTACAGCAAGTGAAATAATCAATGGAGTGAAAAGGCATCCTACATAATGGGAGAGTACATTTTCAAACCATATGTCTGACAAAGAGTTCAACTCCCACATACATAAGGACACCTACGGCTTAACTGCAAAATCAACTTTTAAAAAATCTAAGAACTCTACTTTAAAAATACTATATTAAAATATTAAATAGACATTTTTCCAAAGATTTATAACTGGCAATATGTATAAGGCAAGAATTCAAAATTACTTATGATCAGGATATTCTGTGGGAAAGAAAGGGAGGTGAAAATCAATAGAGAGAAAGGCCACATGGAAGAGAATCAATGCCTCCACTCTGGGTGACAGCTAACAGCAAGGTCCTTCCTAAACCTTCTAAGAGACCATTACATTTATAGTCCAGCCCAGCTGCCAGCTGATATGACTGCATGAGTGAGTCCAGACAAAATGCTCTTGTACAAACAC